TGATTACAAGGGAATAATGAAAAGATCCATTTTCATAGAGGGAACGACCTTTTGGAATTGATTCACCAACATGGAACAAAGGCGAATGGCAATTCGGTTTAAAGGGGGTTGGACTGGATGACCCTTGTGGTCTCTTCCAACTCTATGATTCTATAAGTGGGAGTGAGCCCTAAGGAATGATCCACTGTTTTCCTCATATGAACTTGCCTGTGTTTTGCTAGGAAGGTCATTTTCTCTGTCTCACCATCCTCATACTGCATCTCTTGGGAACCAGGAAAGCGCCTTCTTGGTAGTTGCCTCCAGCACTAGAACTCCCTTCCCCAAAAGGTTAGACTGGCACCCTCCTTACTATCTTTCCAACCCCAAGTGAAGACCTTTTTATTCCAGCAAGCCTTTTAGATATTATTATTATTATTTATTAGAGGAAGTGAGCCTTGTACTTTGTGCTGGACTTTTATTTGTTGTTTTTAATGTTGTTTTCAGTTCAACAGTTTTTTTTAAAAAAATTATTTGAATAATTTAATTACATTTTAATTTTTGTATGCTATGAATTTTAATCATGTTTGTTATACCTATTGTACACCGCTTTGAGCCCCAAACTAGGAGAAAGGTGGGATGATAATAATAAATAACAGGACTGGACCTTAACCAGCCTCTCTGCTTAGCACTGAATGAAAAGACTCATTTGGAGCTGTTCATGGTGCTGAAAATGTTCCATCTCCAGCTATTTTTCCCCCTTGCCCCCTGGAGCCCTTTTCACACTTTATAATTATATTGCTATGATTCCACTTTAAATGTATCGCTGCATGCCATGGAATCCTGGGATCTGTAGTTTGGAGAGGCACTAGAGCTCTCTGATGAAGAATTTCAGATACCCTTCCCTAAACTGCCAATGAGAGCCAGCATGGTGTAGTGGTTTGAGCACTGGACTATTACTCTGGAGGCCAGGGTTCGAATCCCTGCTTGGCCATGGAAACCCATTGGGTGACCCTGGGCAAGTCACAATTTCTCAGCCTCAGAGGATGGCAAGGGCAAACCTCCTCCAAAGAAACTTGCCATGAAAACGCCATGATAGCTTTGCCTTAGGGTCTCCATAAGTCAGGAATGACTTGAAGGCAAACAAGATCAACAATAACCTGCCGATCCCAAGACTCCGCCAGATGTTGCCATGGCGGTTAAAGTGGAATGATAGCACTGCAATTGTGTGAAAGGGCCATTTTGTGTTCTGAACAGCTCCTTTGCTGCCCGTCTGCATCCTGGGAATCATGGGCCTGTCTCGCGTGCCCAAC